AGGACCTGAGGTTCTGTGGAACAGTTTGAAGACCACTCTGCTAGACCATTGTCATTCCACATAGGAATGTTTTCTCCAGCTTCTCTTCAATCCTTATTTGAAATTAGAATTCTGGTAAATTAAGGGGAAAATACATAGGTCTCTATCACAGTGTGTTAATATTTATGAGTTTTATATGCTTAATGATAGCAAAATAATAATTTAAAAAGCAATCAACAATGAATAACAAAAATTGAGACAGAATTCACCCCCCAAATATGAGGTATGTATAATTCACAATATATCATAGTATTTAAAATATCTTTAAAATGTCTGCTTATTTTTTATGTTTCACATATTCTTGTTATTTATATGGGCAAAAATTCATATTATTTATTTTTATTTTATTTTATTTTATTTTATTTTATTTTTTTTTCCTTGCGTTATGCGGGCCTCTCACCGTTGTGGCCCCTCCCACTTGCGGAGCACAGGCTCCGGACGCGCAGGCCCAGCGGCCACGGCCCACGGGCCCAGCCGCTCCGCGGCATGCGGGATCCTCCCGAAACGGGGCACGAACCCGCGTCTCCCGCACCGGCAGGCGGACCCTCAAGCACTGCGCCACCAGGGAAGCCCTATTTTTTATTTTTTATTGTTATTTTTTTTGCGGGCCTCTCACTGTTGTGGCCTCTCGCATTGCGGAGCACAGGCTCCGGACGCACAGGCTCAGTGGCCATGGCTCACGGGCCCAGGCGCTCCGCGGCATGTGGGATCTTCCCGGACCGGGGCACGAACCCGTGTTCACTGCATTGGCAGGCGGACTCTCAACCACTGTGCCACCAGGGAAGCCCCAAAATTCATATTATTAACAGGTCTGAACTGAGACACCAATGATTTGCCTTCCTAAGTCTGAGCTTTAAAATGGAATTTCAGAACTCTCTTAACTCTAATACATTTATACAAGTTTTACCTGAAAGGAAGATGATAATACTCTTTGGCTTGTTTAACACACACAAGCACACATAAGGATATGATGAAGATGTAGAGTTTTCACAATGTTGCTTCAAAATAGATTCTTTCCTTCTCATGTGATCACTGTGAATTTTCTACCCCACACCTCTTCATTTCTCTCAGTCAGTTTCTTCACAGTTTTCATTCAGCTTTTCTCTCACTTTTACTTTTTTTTCCATCAAAGTACATTTTATTGAGTTTTCTTTTTAATTTAATTTATTTTATATACAACATGTTCTTATTAGTCATCAATTATAAACACATCAGTTGTATACATGTCAATCCCAATCGCCCAGTTCAGCACACCACCATCTCCACCCGCCCCCCACCCCCCGTGGCTTTCCTCCCTTGGTGTCCATACGTTTGTTCTCTACATCTGTGTCTCAACTTCTGCCCTGCAAACCGGTTTATCTATACCATTTTTCTAGGTTCCACATACATGTGTTAATATACGATACTTGTTTTTCTCTTTCTGGCTTTGCTTTGTATGACAGTCTCTAGATCCATCCACATCTCCACAAATGACTCAATTTTGTTCCTTTTTAGGGCTGAGTAATATTCCATTGTCTATATGTACCACATCTTCTTTTTTTAAATTAATTAATTTATTTTATATTTATTTTTGGCTGCGTTGGGTCTTTGTTGCTGTGCACGGGCTTTCTCTAGTTGTGGTGAGAGGAGGCTACTCTGTTGCAGTGCATGGGCTTCTCATTGTGGCTTCTCTTGTTGCGGAGCACTGGCTCTAGGCACACGGGCTTCAGTAGTTGCAGCACATGGGCTCAGTAGTTGTGGCTCGCGGGCTCTAGAGCGCAGGCTCAGTAGTTGTGGCTCACGGGCTTAGTTGCTCTGTGGCATGTGGGACCTTCCCAGACCAGGGCTCGAACCCGTGTCCCCTGCATTGGCAGGTGGATTCTTAACCACTGCGCCACCAGGGAAGTCCTTGTACCACAACTTCTTAATCTGTTTGTCTGTTGATGAGCATTTAGGTTGCTTCCATGACCTGGCTATTGTAAATAGTGCTGCAATGAACATTGGGGTGTATGTGTCTTTTTTGAATTATGGTTTTCTCTGGGTATATGCCCAGTAATGGGATTGCTGGATCATATGGTAATTCTGTTTTTAGTTTTTTAAGGAACCTCCATACTGTTCTCCATAGTGGCTGTGTCAGTTTACATTCCCACCAACAGTGCAAGAGGGTTCCCTTTTCTCCACACCCTCTCCAGCATTTGTTGTTTGTAGATTTTCTGATGATGCCCATTCTAACGGTTGTGAGGTGATACCTCACTGTAGTTTGATTTGCATTTCTGTAATAATTAGTGATGTTGAGCAGCTTTTCATGTGCTTCTTGGCCATCTGTATGTCTTCTTTGGAGAAATGTCTATTAAGGTGTTCTGCCCATGTTTGGATTAGGTTGTTTGTTTCTTTAATATTGAGCTGCATCTCACTTTTACTTTCGATTTATTGGAACCCCAAAATGTATAATTGAAAGAGATCTTAGAGGTGATTCAGTCCTATTCCAGTTTTAGAAGTTCAGAGTGAAATAATCCTAACCAGATGCTGGCTGGAAAAGAGCTTGAGTGTGTCTCCTTGAGTGTACAGATTTATATAAAGAAAAAAAATCACAAAAATAAATTTGTTTATTAACTAACCACTTTGGTTCTAGAATCTCTGTGTGGTCTTCCCTGTAACTTTAGACTTTGAATTACTAATTGGCAGAAAAATACTCATTATTTTAGTAATACACATATGTACATAAATAGTGATATTCTTCTATTTTTAAGATCCTAAGGCACTGTAGAATAGAAATGAGCAGACGGATTGAGACAGGCAGATCTGAATTGAAATCTTAGTTTGGCCACCTACTAATTGTGTGATCATGGGAAGTTACTTAGCCTCTCTTAAGTCTCATTTTCTTCATCTGTAAAGTAGAAAAATAACATGTATAAAGGTCCTTGTGCATATTAGGAGCTCAATGAAGTGTAGGCAAGTAAATAAGTTGGTTATAATGATAAAAGATAAAGGATATGTTAAAAGCATGACAGCTGAAAGTGAAAGGAGAGGAAAAAAGGACTGTAGTAGGGACAGTATGGAAGAATAGGAAAAATTGGGAACTGCAGTAGGTAGGAAACAGTTCAACTTGTATTTAGTTTAATTCTAATATTCTAAAGCACATTCTTTTCCTATTGCCATTAGTATATATTCTGCACAATTTTTTTTTTTTTTTTTTTGCGATACGCGGGCCTCTCACTGTTGTGGCCTCTCCCGTTGCGGAGCACGGGCTCCGGACGCGCAGGCCCAGCGGCCATGGCTCCCGGGCCCAGCCGTTCCGCGGCATGTGGGATCTTCCCAGACCAGGGCACGAACCCGTGTCCCCTGCATCGGCAGGCGGACTCTCAACCACTGCGCCACCAGGGAAGCCCCGTATTCTGCACAATTTTAACTCATATTGAACTTAAACATTTTCTCTTGTGATCAAATTATATTTAAATTTTTAAGTGTTGTTTTTACTTGTTTTTATTAGTGTTATTGTTCTCTGAGTAATCACACATATTTTAATTTAATTTACAGGTGGCTGTTTGTTGCATCTGTTTTTTTGTTATCCTTCCTCTAAATCTTGTTGGTACAATACTTGGCCGAAATCTGTCAGGTCAACCGAACTTTCCGTGTCGTGTCAATGCTGTGCCTCGTCCCATACCGGAGAAAAAATGGTAAAGAGAATGCTAAATTTTATGTGATTGCTTCTCACAATATATAAGTTCCTAAGGCTATTATGTATACATAATTTTTAGAATTGGCATGTATTTATAAGTTTAAACTTAAGAATTTGTCTTTTTACTTTTTCCTTCAATTTATATTGCTAGGAGTAGTAATAAATATATGCTTATTTCACTTTTTTGAATATTGGTGCCATTTGCAGAGAAATCAAATGCTTTGGTAAGTACACTAGTGCATAGAGGTGGGTGGGACCTAAAGCGGCAGCTGTTGTATAACTGCAGTCTATAAACCGGATTTGACCTGCTGCCTGTTTTTATAAATAAAATTTTGTTGGAATATAGCCATGCCTGTTTGTTGACATATTATCCGTGACTGCTTTTACAGGGTGGCATCAAAGTTGAATAGTTATGACAGAGACCATATCACCTGCAAAACCTGAAATACTTACTATCTGAACCTTTACAGGAAAAGATTGCCACCCCCTGGCTTCTAATTTCACTTTCCTTTCCAGATATTTTATTATTTGAAACAACATTGACCTATAGTCATAGATTTTGTATCAAATGAGAGAGGAATTAGTATTGAGACCAATTATAACTTACTGACCTATGTTCTTTACCTTCACTTCTGGGATAGTATAGAATCTCTCAAATACATTTTTCACATTTTATGCACAAAATGTATTTTTGAAGATCTCCCATAATTCAAGATTTAATCCTGACAAAGGATGACAGGTATTTCTGTTTAACAGCTAAAGCGATTCTTCTATTGCAATAGTGTAAGCATAGTTTATAGTTCATTTGACCATTCAGCTTTGAAATAGTGATTCTTGATGGATTTTTAACTTGAGATGGTTTGTATTTTTTCAACTTTTGGACATAAAATGAGATGTTACTAATATGTTTATATTTCTAATTTTCATAATTCAAATTTGAACAAAATGTGAACTCATTATATGTTTTGCCTTTTAAGATTAGTAAATTGAGGACTTCCCCAGCAGTCCAGTGGTTAAGACTCCACCCTTCCACTGCAAGGGGTGTGGGTTCGATCCCTAGTGAGGGAACTAAGATCCCATGTGCCGTGTGGCGCAGCCAAAAAAATAAAAATAAATAAATAAATAAAATAAAATAGTAAATTGAACGTTTTAGTGCTGATTTATGCTATTCTGCATTCTTTATTTTCCTCATTCTTACTTGCAGACATAAATAGAACAATCTTACTGTACATTTGTTTTATTCCCCATCTCATAAGAATAGCTATACGGTAGACTCTACATATTCATAATAAGGGGTATATATTGAAAAGCCTCCATTCCTAGATATTTTGCTATATTGTAAGTATAACTTATGTTTAAGTACTTACATAGTCTTTTTTAGACTTGGAGGTATGTAGACATTTGCAGAAGTGGAGGCTGAATAAAATAGCCCCGTAGTGTAAAGGAGAGTGATCTGTTCTAGTCCTAGGAATTGTCCGTGTTCTTTTTCTCTAAGATTGGTGCTTATGAGAACTTTTGTAGTCAGTTTTAAAAGTCAGTTTTATCTTCAAATCAAGATTAGACTGTTAAGGCCCATTGATACCCTAATGTTTGTTCCTTTACCCATTACTGGGGAGGATAAGGTTAAAGGAAAAGCATAGAAATCACAAAAGTTCCTCTGGGTCACTAGAGCTGGTGAAGGAGAGGAAGGAGCAACACGCGACCTTGCTAATAACCATGGGTCACATTTAGGTGTAGGAAGGCTCGCGTGTCTCTTCATTTTCTTTATATAGTTGTATGGGAACCAAAATCTGAATACTAGATCTGGCGGGCATGTCATTTTTAACCTCTGTGGATCTTGGCTTTCTATAAAAGGAGGAAAGAAGACTAGACTTTAAAATTAAAAAAATTTTTTTTTTGGCTCTCAAACTCATTTTCTTCTCAGTTTTGTAGTTTGTTCATTTCAGAAATAGTAGTTTACTATCTTTTATGTGCCACATACTGTGCTGGACACTGGGAATACCTAGATGAATAGCTTCTGCATGCCAGGGTTTATAATCTAGTGAGGTATTTAATTAGATAGTACAGTATAGTGTGGTAAGTGCTGCCATGGAGTTAAGTTCAAGAGACAGTGGAAGAACCCACCTCTTCTTGGGAGACCCGAGAAGGGCTTTATGGGGCGAACACTTGAGTCAATGCTCGCAGGAGAGAGCCATGAGACAAGGGAAGGCATTGCAGGTGGAGAATTATTGATTGCAATCAGTAAATGTTTGTTGAGTGAATGAATGAGGTTTGAATTTTATTTTTTATTCATTCTTTGACTCCTTTTGTAACTCAGAGCCCATAATACCTTAATTGTGTAATTCATAGGAGAACAAGTTACTGAACCAAGGAAGGCATGAGCAAAGAAATTGGCAAGGCCACAATTTGGGAAACATTATTTCAGATGCAGGGGGGTCTCAAGAC